GTTCATGAGCCTCTCGACTTTCCTTTTTTCTCTTTTTCTCATGGTAATCCAAGCGGTACCCATAGCGTTTACGATGTAATTCAATATATTCATTCTGTGGCATGATGACAGCTGCAGAGCCACCGCCGGTGGCCTCAAGAGTGCAAAGAAAAGTCCTAACTTTGGGGCGTCCCAGACACACGAGCTGCCTCCCTCTTTGGTTTTTTTGAAACTGATCTGCACAGTAACAATCCAACTATGTACTACTCCCTGGTAATTATGTATGTAAAACACATACTATCAATGCATAATTTCAATGTTTTGATATGTAGCAAAGAAACTCATGAAGCAAATGTTTCCTTTATACCATATGACATGCTTTCCTTTTACTGTTCCTCTCTGGCACTGATTCACATATCAAATTTATATTTCTTATTTTATGAATCACTTTTCTCCACCATTGACTAGAGGACAAAAATTCTGAATGTCATCAATAAGGCAAAAAAGCAAACAAGGACCAGGATATAGTTCAGCAGTATAGCACTTGCCTAGCAAACACAAGTCCTGAGTTGGAATCCAAACACCAAAAACAAACAAAACCTCAGCTCAGGGCCAGCCAAATAGCTCACGGGATTAAAGTGCCTGCAGGGGCAGGGGCCAGGGTTTCAATCCCTGGGGCACGCTGTGACAGGCAACTGAGACTGGGCGAGACTGGGCGAGACTGGGCGTGGTGGGCACGCCTGTAATTCCAGCTCTTGGGAGGTTGTAAACAGGCGGATCACTACGAGTCCGATCTAGTAGTGAGACCCTCAACACCCTGTAGACCCTTCCCTAAAATTTAAAAAAAAACCAAACAACCTCAGCTCACAAGTGCCAAATGTAAAACAGAAATGTGTTGTTCAATTTCTTTTGATGAACAAAAGTTACTTCTTTTTTGAGTACTGGAAATGGAACGCAGGACACTGCCCTTACCAGGCAGGCGCTTGTGCCACTGAACTGCATCCCTAGCCCTGAAGTTATTATTTTCATAGTAGCTACTGAGGGAATTCCTTTAGTTTGTTGAATCTGTATCTCTTTGTTAAGTCTTAGAAAAGCACAGAGAGGGGCTGGAGACATGGCTCAGTAGAATAAGCAGGGTCACAATGAGTTCAAGGTCAGTCTGAACTATGTAACACAAACTAACTAAAAAACAAATAAATAAAAAACAAGGGCCAGGGAGATGGCTCAGCAGAATAAGCACTTTCCTGGCAAGCACAAGGGCGAGTTCAATCCCTGGTTCCACAAAAAAAGAGAAAGAAAAGCACAGAGAACTATTGTACTCACAGTTGCAGTGGTCACAGAGGTAGACTTTTCCTTCTAAAGCTTCGGCTTCTGTGAATTTGGCCAACATTTCAGTAACAGAACAAGGCTGTGAGGTCACATCTTTCCCAGGGCACTGGTATATTTCTGGAAATTCCAATGACAAATCCCAGAAAGGTTCTATGGTAGTTGATTTGTTGTCACATGCAAGACATGTAACCTGCAAATGAAGATCAGTTACTCAGATCACAATCCTCTATCAAAACATTAACTTCTTCCACTAGACCACTGTTAGCAAATAACTGAAAATGCACCACTAGAAATCTTAATAACTAGAAAACCATGTATACTTCTTTGAACTGAACCCTGAAGCTTTCACTCTGAGCTTTCACTCTGAGCTTCAGTATTTTCCATTTGTTTTGGTTTTTGCAGCACTAGAAGCTAGAGCCTTTACTCTGAGCTATCACACTATAGGCCTTTTTTAAAATTTCTGAGATAGGGTCTCGGTTGCCCAAACTAGGCACCAGCTTGTGAGCCTTCTGCCTCAGTTTCCCAAAGTGCTGGGATTACAGGCATGTGTTACCATGCCTGGCTCGATATTTGCTTTTTTTTTTTTTTTTTGGAATCGGGGATTGAACTGGGGATTCCCAGGGAAGCTCTTATTCTACTGAGCCATTTCCCTGGCCCTGATATTTGCTTTTTTTTTTTTTTTTTTTTGGCGGAACCAGGAATTAAACTCAGATCCTTGCGTTTGCCAGTCAAGCGCTTATCCTACTGAGCCATCTCCCCGGCACCGCTATTTGCTTTTTGAGATAAGCTGTCTCTAATTTGCCAAGTCTGGCCTAAAAATTTCAATTTTCATGTTTTGGGTTTCTGAACAGCTGGGATTTCAGGCATGCACCAGCACGACCAGCTGGGGGCTTTATATTCTTGTCAGGACAGTGTATTATAATATTATCATTCCATAACATTGGTATTAAACCCATCATGATTTACAGGCATTAACTGATGGGCCTTAAATGCAGTCAAATCCAAGACTTTAGAGCCAGGCTTTGTGGTACTCATCTGGAATCCGAGCACACTGAAACTGAGACAGGAGGATTGCCAACTTTGAGTGCCACCTGGGTGATTTAGCAAGAACTTGTTTCAAAATAGTAAAAAAAAAAAAAGGGCCAAGAGGGGCTGGGGAGATGGCTCAGTAGAATAAGCACTTCCCTGGCAAGCACAATGACCTGAGTTCAATCCCCGGTTCCACAAAAAAAAAAAAAAGGGCCAAGAATGAGATGTAGCACAGTGACGAGGCTCTGGGTTCATTCTCCAGTACCATCACCGCCAAAAACAAACAACCGGGGCCGGGGAGATGGCTCAGTAGGATAAGTGCTTGACTGGCAAACTCAAGGATCTGAGTTCAATCCCCAGTTCTGGAAAAAAAACAAAACAAAACAAAAAAAAACCCTCATCTTAGGTAAACACGAACTGTGGGCTGATTTAATAGGTACACATCATGCTTGCGCATACACACGCGTATCTTCACATGCACTTCAGGCGTCTATGGCTGTGGGCTTGCAGTTCTCCACCTCTTTCCTGCCTCATCTTGAAGATGGCCTCCTGCCCCAGTCCACCTGTCTTCTGTGCTGGGGCCTGAACCCACCAGGGCTCTCAGCTGTCTAGCGTGCTAGATTCTACACTGAGCTACACTCAGGCCCCACAACTCACCACCTTGACCATAATAAAGCAAAATGCGATAATTCACATAGTTTTATTATACAGATTTCAAGCCTACCAACGGACAATCTCAATAACATACTCCCTGGGCATGCCCATAACCCCAGATAACTCTGGAAGCAGAGGCAGGAGAATAACAAATGCCAGGTCAGCCTGGGCAACACAGAAGACCTTGGTGCTCCCTGGTTCACTCCCCAGTACGGAGGAGGGTGAGGAATAAAGACATACACAGAATATAAATAATTCATTCTGTGGCTTAAATACCACCGCATCTACATCCTTATCTGAATGGGAAAGAACACGGAGCAGCTGCAACGCGACTCAGCGGTGCAGGGCCCTGGGTTCCATTCCTAGTTCCACTAACGGGGAGAAGAGGCATTTCTGGCAACTTCCATGGATGGACAACGTAGCAACAACTTTGGAAAGATACTATGAAAGAGAAATATTCAACAAGATTTATACTACCAACTCTGCACACTACTAAAGCAGACTACGAGCGAGGAAACCTTGTTCCAGCACACTCAGGCACAGCAACAAAGCCAGTTCGACCTAGATGTTACATGTACCCAACTGATCCAAGGACACTCTTGGCATTTATTTAGTCTGGGGACTGAGTGGTACCATGTTTCCCCCTGACCTGAGTTTTCTTGAACTAAAACATAAAATAAATTAAACCAGGTGTAGTGGCACAAGCATGTAATCCCAACAATTGGCAGACTGAGGCACTGGGATTGCTACAACTTGCTACACAGTGAGTTCAAGGCCAGCTGGACTACACAGCAAGACACTGCCTGGGGAAGAAAAAAAAAGCCAAAGCCATTCATTTCTGCACCAACTATCAGAATCTCCTGACAACGTTCACAGGTTTACAGGAGGAAAGGGGGTACAGTGTAGCTCAGTGGTACAGCACATGAATAGCCCTTGGCTAAAGCCCCTGCAATGTGCCTGCAAATAAAAGGGGACAGGCAAAAGTTTTAGGGCAATTTTTATTAATTTCAAAATTCATTTATATATAAAAAAGCACTTCTTATACTACTAAAACTATAACATTTTATTTGATTGATTTTTGGTCTCTTTTTTATGTATTTAGGACAGGGTCTACAGGATCTCACTACATAGATCGGACTTGTAGTGACTCTCCTGTTTTCAGCCTCCCAAGCGCTGGGATTACAGGCGCACCACTGCATCCCAGGGATCGAACCTGCAGCTGCACTCTGCCTAAGCAAGCGCTTTAGTCTGCTGAGCTATCTGGCCAGTCCGATTGCTAGACACGGTTTCACTATGAATTTCAGGCTGGCCTTGAGTCACTTTGTAACCCAAGCTGGCCCTTGAACTTGCAGTGAACCTTCCGCCTCAGTCTCCCAAGTGTTGTGGTAACAGGCGTGTACCACGATCCCTGGAGTAAAAAAAAAAAAAAAAAAAAAAAATTCTTTTTAAAGTTGTTTTCCTGTTTGTTTTATGTTTCTGAGACAGGGTCTTGCTGTGTAATCCAGCTTGGCTGTGAACTCGATAAATAGCCCAGGCTGGCTTTAGACTCACGGTCCTCCTTATCTCAGCTTCCAGAGTGCTAAAATTATAGGCTATGGGCTGCAGGTTCGATCCCTGGGCCTGCAATTGAGACTGGGCATGGTGGCGCGCACCTGCAATCCCAGCACTTGGGAGGCTGTAAACAGGAGAATCACTATGAGTCCAATCTAGTAGTGAGATCCTGAACAACCTGTAGGCCCTTCCCTAAAATACAAAAAATAAAATAAAATTATAGGCTATGCATCACTATATCTGGAATTTAAAATAAATAAACTTCCTGGGCTGGTGAGATGGCTCAGTGGTCTAACGCACCTACTTAGAACAAGCTTAGCAAAGCACAGGGACCGCGGTTCAATCCCCCAGCACCACACGCCAGCCAGCCCCGCCCCCTGGTGGGCTGAGCTG